ACAAGCTGGGCGAGCTCGTGGGCTGCTCGGGTTTGCTTCATGGCTGTTGTTGTTGTTTTTTTTTCCTGTTTTGTTTTGTTTTTAGTAGGAAGGGAATCACTCGGGAGCACAAATGGGCTTGTTTGGAAGTGGTTACACTGAGCCGTGATCCGCCTGCTCTGCTGGAGCGCTCGGGGAGTCGCGGGAGGAGAATTGCACTAGTTTGAACTGGATTTGGTAACGAGGATATTTTGATTTGGGGCAGCAGGGGGGAAAAAAAAGACTTGTGTAACGCTGTTGTGTTGCCCTGGGTAGGGCAAGGAGCCAGTGAATTGCGTGATTTTTTCTGTCCCTGGAGTGGGCCTGCTGCACGCCCAGCAATGCCATGGGAGTCAGCACCTTGTGTGCCGGGTTTCCCTGGCAGCGCCTGAGGAAGCTCCATGTGCGTGTTCACCACACAACCCGCTCCATGCAACCGCTGAAACTGGCAGAATGAGTCGTCCCAACACAGCCCCTCGGAGCGGCTGCGTAACCTCCGGCTCCTGCTGCACGCCGCTCGCTGGCTCCCCTCGTGCCATCACTGCCCGCAGCGCGCACATGACCCTGCGCTCCTCGTTGGGAACCACTCGGGAGCGCCGCGAACGCCCGCGAGCGGCGGCTGGGAGCGCCCGGGAAGCACCTGGGGCAGCCTTGGCCACTGCGCCGTGTGGGGCCAAGCCGCGAGCGGGTCCCCCGCGAGTGTCCCCGCGTGCACGGACTGGTGCGCGCAGCGGCGGTGGACAGGCGGGGGCCGAGCCCTGCTCCGGCGGCACCAACGCCCCGCACAGTCAGACCCAGGATGCGAGTGATCCTGGGCACTGCCTGGAGCAGGAAAGCGGCCCCGACAGCTGTGATCAATAGATGTGCGGGCTCGAGATTTACTGTTTTCACTGTGCTACTGGAAAAGCGATGTGTCATCCCCTGCCTTTGCTTCCATGTGCTTAACACTCGGGTCCTCGCAGAGCCGTCTCACGCTGCCGGTGCTCTCACGCAGCACCTTTGCACGGGAGCAGCTCTGTCCCTCGCAGGGCCGGGCGGCTCAGCTAGGTTGTTTTCCAGGTAATGCAGTTACAGCAGCACACAGAAGCCCGAAAGAAAATATCACTTGCTCTCCTTTTCCACTGCCTTTTAAAAATACTAAGTGCAAAATTGTTTTTTCTTTTTTAAAATAAAATGCAAAAAAGATGAATGTCTGCAAGCTGGATGTCTCCTTCATTCCATCTGATAACCTTGGGATACCCTGGCGCTTCCATTGTCCACCCTGCCCTGTCTTTCCACTATTTCACTATTCCTGTCTACAGAGCCGCCACCTCCTCATCTCCCTTTGGGATACTTTCACTATTGGATATCTGATGTTCTGGCTTCTGCACTGGGGCACTTCATGAAAAAGTGTTTCTGTTGTACTTGGATTGGGAGGAGAATGGACCCGTAAAAATACAAGTTACTTGCATGGTGCTTTCCTTCACCCGAAGGTCTTGGGTTGCTTTGGCTCTGTGGTCGGTTTGCTCTCAGCTTCCCGGGCAAGGAAGCCGAAGCAGAGCGAGCTGGTAATATTCCTGCT